TTTTTCAGTTGTTAGAGCTTTAGACGTTTTATTTATGCATGTTTAAATGTTAAAATGAGTAAAAAAAAAACTAATATAAACAAATTTTTAGTTTTTTCAGAAATATGGAGGAAATCTATGTATTCATTGACGGTCTGGACCAGGGGAGTCTGATCCTGGTCCTCAAAGGCTGCTGTCCTGCACGTTTAACCTGTTTCCCTGCTTAAACACACCTGATCCAGTGACAGAACGACCTCTTCATGCCCGTTAATCGCACATTCTTTCAAATCAGGCGCGTTTTGAAAACAGACACCAAACATGCAAGGACCMGGAATCGGACAGCCTCGCTTCAGACTTTGAGCCGACTCCCGGGCAGGCTGTGCGGCCAGGTATGAGGTGGTGTTACCACAGCGACGGGGTCAGTGGTGACGCTAACATACACACACAGAGTGCGTTAGCGAGGACGGGGGATTTTGGAGGGAAGACGGCCGGTGAAATACAGAACCTCTCTGTTCTCTCCAACACTCCGACTCGCTCCGATTCTCTGACCCGACTGGTGCTGGAAGCTGGAAAGTGTCTCTCTGTTTGCAGCGGTGATGATGCTCAGCTACCTCCAAACCAAACTTGAGCTCATTACCTTTAAATTAGCTTGAGTTATATCCATTTTATTTACCTCAGTTGGCTGTGGCAACCATCTTGAATGGTTTGAAATGCAAGGATTACTTTTTGATTGTATCYATTTGTTCCTACGGGGAAAAACATTAATATTTATCTTGCTGAAGTCAGCCTCATTCAGATATTTCTAATAAACAAATTTCATAAAAGTCCATCTTTAAATCTGTAAGAAATGAGTTGTCTGACATTGTGATGTTCTCATGTTAAAAAAATTTAATTTAATGTAACAAAAGTGAAATGAATTTAAAGGTTTGGTTAAATAAAACAAACTCATTTGGGGTAAAATATTCAAAACTGTGTAGAGTTGAGAGGAAAAAGAGCAGAAAGCATACATTTACTTACAGATGCATTGTTTAAGTGTTTTATTATGGAGAAAGTCGCCACAAAAACCTTAAAATATGAGAAGATTTAAAATTTCTATATTCAGTCTAGATTTATTTAATTTAATCCATTTGTGCAAAGACGTAGATTCAGATATGACAATACAAGTTACAAAATTTCATTATTGATCTATTTTTAAATAAAAGATAAGAAAGTAAAAGGATAAAAAAACGAGTTAGTTTATTGAAATTGTGAAAAAAAGAAGAATCAAATGTAAAGACAGGATTGGTCTGAATAATTAAGCCAAATCTTGTTATTCAGAATAATAATTCTGATCATTACCTGTTCTGTCCCAGTGTGTAGTCAGATTTTGATAAAAAAGGTGTTGGTTGATTGGCTTTATGAGCCTTATTGTTTTGTTTTCTGGCCCGTCTTGTGGATCAAACCGTTTGTTCTTCCTGTCCGGTTGATTTCATCCTCTTCCTCTCGTGTCGGGTACCYGATGGTACGGCTGGCGGGCTTCAGTGTTATGTTTAAGATAACAGTCGACTCTGCTGCTGCTCCTGGATGCTATCTCTTCACACACGCAAAAAGTCCACTTTAGTTTAACTCATCAGTTGTTTGATGTGGTCATGTGGCCGTTTGGTTTTTAAAAAAAGTAACATTTGCGTTTTGAGAAATCCCATCATGGGATTGAAGTGGTTTTGTTGAAGTTTTTGATTATAATAGTGTCTGATCTTTTATCTCATTTTATGTTTGACATTAATAATAAGATACAAAGTACACCAAGTTAAATTAGGAAGGATAGGCTAATCTAAAGAGAGGTTTTGAACAGAGAGAGAGGTGGAGGCAGTGATGGAGATGTGCAGGAGGTCAGTTAGGGAGGGAGTGGATAGCGTTGAAAGTGTGAAGAGGAATTTAGAAGATGATGTGTGATTTAACTGGGAGTAAAGCTGCTGCAGGACTGGAGAGATGCAGTTAGAGGAGGAGGTTTGGGTGAAGACTGAGTTCTGAAACATTCTGCTTTGTCACTTTTTGTGAGATCTTAGAATCGATGTGGTTTTAGTGTATTTGGTAAACTGTTTCTTGCATCTTCGGACCACGGCGAGTCGACCGACGTGCATCGAGGCGGTTTGCAGCTGGTGTGAATCCAGTTCCTCTAAATGTGAGGTGGTGCTCAACCAGAAGCATGTCAGAGGGAGATTTTGCCTCAGGTGTTGGAGTTCAAGTATCTGGGTGTCTTGTTTATGAGACATGGATTGGTGGACTTTGACCATGTTCTCAGTAAGGAGGGCGTTGTTTTGGTCGGTCGTGGTGAAGAGGTCTGTTGCAGGTCTGTCTGGTTTACCTGAGGAAACACATTTATATTTCCTTCTGGTGCTGCATGAAATTGGTAAAAACTGACACAACCTGGTCAAAAAAAGTCACCACCAAAAAAAGGTCTCTCTAATATTTAGTTGGACCTTGAGCTTTATTTACAGCACACATTCTCTGTGTCATTGTTTGGTGAAGCTTCTGCAACGTCACCAGTAGTGCTGTCCTAAACGATTATTTTTCTCTCAATTAATCTAARGATTATTTTTGCGATTATTCGATTAGTCTAACGTCTATTTTTTGATTCATTAACGATTATTTTTTGTTGATCGAATAATATAAAGACTAATTTACAGTCAATTTACACTAATTTAATTTAGTTGAATTCCATTATTTTGTCACTGCTGTGTGACAATAATACTGCAGACCTATTTGCCATTATGTCTGATCAGAATAATATATTCAAAAGGACCGCTGTGTCACAAACTCACTACAAATTAATTTAAGGCAAGACACTGCAGGTGAATACAGAACCTTTTTAAAACAAAAAGTATCTTTCAAAATTTAATGATTATGTTTTTGATTACACACTTCTTAGTGAAAATAAAAAACAATATTTGGATAAAAACAGGTTCAAAAATCTTGCTTCTGTTTGTTAACACATTAGAGGCAAATATATTTATGGAAAGGATTTTGGATCTCCCTTTTTATCAATTCGATATCAATCCTTAAATGAGAAAATACTGTTAACAGCCATTAAAAAATAATTTATGGAAATCTTAGGCATAAAACGATGTATAAATCACAGTGTTGTCAAGATTTTAATGGCAAACTCCTCGGTAAACAAGGAGAAAGTGGAGGAAAAGAAACACCTTAATGTTTTTTTTGTTTGTTTGTTTGTTTCTGTTGTGAAAGCAACACTGCCCACTGCATGTAAAAACATTTCTGCCTGAAGTGTGTAAGTTTCAGTTTCTCTGACGAGGACYACGTCGACYCTAACGATCAGAAAGTACCACAGAGACTGTTGCTGCCAACAGTTATTATTCTTAATATATTARGTTAATGCCAAAAAACAATATAACAACAGGACTTACGATTCTGCACTTTTCCTCCTGCCTTCATCTTCGAGCAGAACTCCAGGATGTTTGCGCTTCAGGTGTTCGTTCACTGCGGTAGTGCTACTATGGTAGGTTAACTCCATTTTGCAGAGTGAACAACCAACCAAGCCCTTTTCTTTCGGCTTAAAATACTTCKACACTTTCAACATCTTTGG